CATGTTTATTTTGCAGCTAAAGCATAATTATTTGAAACTTTCTTTACTTTCCGCAACAGGTAGAAGCACATAGCGGTATCTAATCTTACCTAAGCGAAGAAAGAAGAAAGTTTGCTAAACAATCAGTGATGAGGTTTACATCAATAATCTATCACTACAATAATGTCACAGCGTAGTTGCCTGTCCAGGCTACCCATTATGCCGCTGGAAGCAAGGAACGATGCGATTATGCATGTGAATTCTAAGAATGGTGTCATTGTGCCACAAGTCACGCATGTGCAGCTTTGTTCAGAATTTTATTTGTTCGTGAAGTTGTGATTAGTATCTCAAATTTAATTTTTTATAATGCTATAAAACAAAACTCATCAGTATTTATATTAAAGCAGCATAGTTTAAAGACTGATGTTCAACAATGGTCATTCTACGTAGCATTGATAAGCAATTGCTTCACTGTATAAATAAGAACGAGGTTTAATTTTACTTGAGCATCATGTGATCGATCCTACAATGAGCCTGTACTTTTGGTTATCTATACAACTTGTTTTAATTTGTGGTGTAAAGTGCAAGGATGTTTAAGGTGACTTAAATGGGCTGCAGATCATAAAGTTTGGTTGTGCAAAAATCGACTTTCATTACTGAACGGCGTGACGACTGACAACGTGGACCTGTGATTGTGCAAGACGGGTGCGTTTTGAGCAAGTGGGACATCATACGATTTGATCGAAGAAATGACCGTCTGCCGTCGTCGTGGCCACGTGCTGTGATTAGCCGGATGATCGAATAATACTCGTAGTGCAGGAAAATATGGAGGACTACAAGTACTTGTTTAAAGTGGTTTTGGTGGGCAACGCAGGCGTCGGAAAAACCTGTTTGGTTCGCAAATTCACTCAGGTATACTCTTGAGTGACCGCGTTTGATGTGCCGACGTTTGATCGGTGCATTTCGTTCACTGTTTACACGTCAGTCGTTTTTGCTTTCTTCGTCTTCTGTTCTTGGCGTAAACCCAGCTCAATCTGCCGTAAACTTGTGTCTGCCAGCTGGAAGCATAATTTTAACGTTTTGTTATGTTTTTGCGCGTAACTTCCGTGTTCGCCTTGAAAATACAGTAAAACATTTTAAAATA